CTAGAACATCTGCTCCTCACTGAAGAAGGGTTGCGAGGTCTTCCAGGGCAGCTCTCACAAAGTACTTTGTTCTCTGCCCTAATACTTGGAATAGCAGGCAGAGCAGGGCACTTTGCACAACCCTAGCTAGTCAGCATGTGCCCTGTGATTGTGACTGGATGCCCCATGAAGAAAACTAATCTTTTTCTTAAGGAAAAAAATGCAAGCCAGCAATTCAGTGTGATGACCCCATTAAAATGATGAAATGAATAATAGTATTAAAACTTCACACAAGGACTGTTTCTACTAAATTGAGAGTTACGGAATAAAGTTAAATGTTTCAACTCAAAGACCTGGTTTCCGGTGTTGGCACCAGTGCTAAGACTAAATGTTCATACATCAAGCATATTTACATCTTCATTTTAAAGAGAAATTAGGAGGGAGATATACTTAAACTGAAATAACATTCCATTCCTGTGTGCGTGAGCACATTCATCTATTTCCTACAGAAACTCCCTGTGCTTTTACTGTGTCCTTAAGGCCTTCATTTACACAGATTCACTGAAATCAGCTGCACTGAAGCAGCTGACAGGTTTTCAGCATACAGACACAGCTCAAAGAAACATCTCTTCAAAGAGTGGTGAAAGGTGGCATTAAAAATGAACACCTACTCTTGTCCTGTGTTTCTTGGCCTAATAAATACATCTCCAAGGTCAGAAGCTTACAGCAGAACATATCAAAATCACTAGCTGTATGAATTATAGCATGCATTTATCTTAATATTTCTAACTACCTGGGTATACGCTCCAGATAAAGAACAAGTTAGATTACTCTACACATGTTCACTGTGGATTAAGGTAATGCAGTCTCCTTCCAAAGTAGGTTGGTTAAGAATATGAAGTTACAGATCTCAGCGGATAAGTAGGTACTCCTACTGTGAGTCATTGCAATTCTATCACCTCTATCTATAACATCCAGCTCTCTGCACGTACACAATTATCATATCTAATTTCCCACTGTAGTTAACAGCAACAGACCCAAACAGAAAGGCATACCCAAACGAGAGAGTGGTTTGGCTATGAAGTGTTAATGTGCTAGCTGATCCCAATTCCTACAGTTTGTAGTAAGGTGGACTTCAGACAGTTCAGTTGTTAACGCAGAATAAATCTTTCAGGCTCAGACCCTGGTGAATGAAAAGTTTTAACAGTTGTTCAAAGCCTACATGAATGAAAGAGGACTTAAATGTGAAACTCCATGAGCCAGCATTCCCATTGTTCAAATCAGTCCTCACTTTATTTCTGCACACCCAAACAGCAAGGACCAGGAAACAGTAGCTATAGAGGGAGAAGGATCTTCACCCTTGCCCCCTCTACCAGAGCAGAACTCTGGAGCAGCACAGGAGACCAGGATTTCCAGAATCTGTGTGGCAGCTCCTAGGTGGGCAGTACATCTTCCATGACATTTAACTTGACACATCTCACTAGCATAAGGCATTTCTACATGAAACAGAAGGAAGATGTAGGAAAAAATTTTGCAGTCGGATTAGGGGTAAGTGTGACAAGTACTAACGCTCAGGTGGTGTACGTACACCTGAAAAACATATCCAAAATTTTTCACAAAAGAGGGAATTTCAGGTCTTGTGTGGTTTGACTCTCCAAGGCTTGGCAACACCACTTATAACCTCACCAAAGTTCAATATGACTATGAGTGTTTACAAGCAAAATGAATAGGCCAAATTGAGAATGTAAATATTTGGATTCAATTCCCCAAACTTGCCTCCATCTGTGCTGCCAACTAAATCCCAACTGCAGACTGAAAAATCTGAAAAGCAACAGTTGCACACACTTTACAGCACAGAGACAAAACTAACACACATGGCACTCAGCATTGGGAGGGAAAAAAATTGTAATCTAAACTGAACTTATTTTAAACAAGACATCAGTGAAGTCTGGACCAAAACTTGACTCAGCTATCATTTGGTACATTTTGAAAGTCTGATCAGTCCAGATGTTGGTCTTCTGCCCTGCAGGAGAGTGAGCTACATTAACCACATCTAGATTACTCAAGACCCCATAGATGATACAAAGGATCAAGTACACAGTGGTAACTTTGATCTAAACCACATTCTCTTAAGCCAGCAAAAGTGAGTACTTCTCTTTTCCTGGGGAGATGATTTGAGGAGAGTCTTCTCTGAACCTATGGTAATTTATTTAGCAACCTCAGTCCTATATTCAGAATTCATTTAGGATCCCAGATCACCTTGAGCTCTTTCTCTGGTTTTTTGTTGGGTTTTTTTTTTTTTTTTAGTTTTTTTTGTGGGTTTTTTTTAGTTTTACCACTGTTTTTTTTAGTTATAGATAAGGATGGCAGCCAGAGATCCATCCAAGAGAGTTTTGACCTTCAACAACCACAAATCCCAGGGGATACACTGCATTCTCAGCAGCCAGTTCCCAGCCATTCTTCCCAGCCCTTCTCAGAAAGTGTTAAATGCCTTTCAGTCCTGTGTGTCCATTGCAGACACTCATTGGAGGCAATCAGGAAGACCAGCATCTTGCCAAGTCAAGGATTTTGATTTTTTTTATATCATAAGAATTTGGGCCTCCTCACTCCCACTACTGTAAACTAACAAAAAGTCCAGCCTCTCCCTCTTCAGTTAAATGGGAAAAGTACAAATCTCATTCTTTAGCTTTACTCAGCTGTGGGAAACTTAGTTTTGCTCTCCAGTTAAAAGCAGGCTCTTCAGCGCGCTTCACAGTGACCTCTTCACAAGGAGCTAGTATCATTTCTTTAAATGCCCCTGCACCAAAAATAGTCCTGCTTCCTAAACATGAGTGCTTAGCAGTTCCAGGCATTCTGAGATCCTGCATACCACTACATGTTTTTTAAACTGGCAACATTTACTTAACCAGCAATTAAAAAAATGAGGCCCAGCCGCCCCAGTGATTCTTCCCAGAGGGTCTTAGATGTTTATGAAACACAATGAAAACAATAAAGTGGATAAAATCATGCTATTCCATCAAGTCCTTGGCAAGACTTCCCAACCAAGAATAAATTGGCATGGTACATTACAGTCAACAGATTACACAATGGTTTACAGGGTCACCAATAACAAGGAGTCATAAGCTCCTTCGAGAGCTACAGTATATGTTAAAAGTCACTTGCTTGAAGGGAAGTGGCAATGTTTGGTCCTGAACTCCTATGAGCAAATCCTGGCAGCCACAGCACAAACACACTGAAGGGGTAGGAAAGGACAGAAGACACCTCTCCTTCCCAGTGCCAGGAAGGGCAACTCCAGTGTGCAAGCTGGCTGGGGGAGTTTGGCACCCTGAAGGAAGCAGAAGAAAGCCAGGCCAGGCAGGACTCTCTCGTTTCTGCACAAGAGAGACCATATATACTTTAAGGAGCAGGACAATTTCCATGCCTCAGTGAGGCCCAGTACCACCCACCCCATCACCCCTTCCCAAGGAGCCCTGTTCCTCACTCCCCCATACTCTAAAAGAAAACTTGTTCCATCCCAGAAGCAAGATGGCAGTTCCCCGTCAGTGTAGTCAGTCTTAACAGTGTATAGGCTGTAGCTTGCTTTAATGGTGTTTGACAATATTCTTAGCTAACTTGATAAAGTAATAATAAATAATTGCTTAAATGTGTTGCAGTTTTTCTTTAAATAATTAATCTTAAAGCAAGAGGGAAAGAATGGTCAAAGCCATGTATCTTACTCTTGCCCATCAACCTGGTAATAGATTTCCACCATCACCTGCATAACACAATCATCAAAATGAAAGTTAAATTCTGATGTTCCCAAAACATATGTGATTTTCTCAAACCTCACATTAAAAGCAAGATACTCCCAATTCTGCTCTATTAACTATCTTCATCATGTATAAACAAACATTATTAAGTCTTAAAGACAAATCAACCTCATTACAATTCATCCTACTCTGCATCATCAGAAATCTGTAACTAACAGTTTCATCCTTTATCTTCCACAGGTTTGGGTCACTGTAGGTAGTTTTTACGGGATTATTCAGTATCTGGCTGAAGTTAAAAGACTGACTACTCAGTCAGAATAAAACTGAAAGAAAACCTATTCCCCAAAGTCAGTGCTACAGTAAAACAACGGTGTAGAAAACACTACTATTGATATACTCCATGCAATAATACTACGCATCCAGCTTAAGTTACCTTTGCTACTGAAATTCAAAGTACATTTGAGTGATAAAACTGAAGTAAATATAGGAAGGTTCTCTCATATGTAGCCGGTACTCTTTGATTGTGGTGACCTGCTGCTCTTTAGTAAAGCAAATGCTTGGTACCAAGCCAAGAGCAGTACATCTGATTTTCCCACCAAGTGAACTGCTGAAGCAGCTCCCTTAGCTCTTCAGCTAAATCTGTCTTGGGATCCTAAAGGCTTCCGGCGGAGTCCAGGTGGCTCCTCTACTCTTTTCAACACGCATGCGAACATTACAGCCTATTGGACAGACGATGCGAGTGGACACTGGTGGGGAAAAGCAGTGCTACAGCTCCGCGTCCCTCTCCAGATCAGAGCCCCGCACTCGGCCGGCTGGCTGCCCAGCCCGGGTATAGTCAACCCGATCCCGCCGAGGTGGTCTCCTGGCCTCCGATCCTCCGGGATGCCCCTGCCCTCGCCCCACACGCGAGAAAAGAATCCCCACTGGGCTCGGCGGTGGCACGGGTAGCACCACCGCAGGAGCACAGACTACCCGCTTGGCCCATGTGCAAGGACCCCACGCCTTCTGCGCTCCCCCGCGGCAGAGCAGAGCAGGACAGAGACGCCCGAAAGGATCACGGGTCCTGTCCTGTTGCCGGTGGCTCCATTGCCGTGGGGGCTCCGCGCTCCTGGGACTCCCCGCCGCCGGCCGCCGCTCATCCCCGGCCCGCCCCGCTCCGCTCCCGGGAGGCGGGCTGCTCTCGGGTCGCAGGGAAGGCGAGCCGGAGCACGATCAATCGTTTCTCCCCCTAGCCCCGCTCCCCTGCCCAGTTCCCCAGAGGCGACCACCGACCTGGCAGCTCGGCTCCCCGGCCCTTACCGAGGCGCGCAGGGATGCGCTCCCTTCCGCCGGCTGGCTGAAGCCCCCGTCCCGCAGCCCGGGTGGTTGTAGCTTTTTTGGAGAAGCTGGGAAGAGGGAAAGAAAGAAATGGGGGAGGGAAAGGGGAGGGAAGGGACTGAGATCGAGGGAGAGAGAAGTATGCAAAGGCAGGAAGTGGAGACGGCCACGGCCAGTGCGGGAGATTAATGGGAACCAGTCACCCGGCAGCCAACAAAGAAACCTGCTCCCGCAGCGCCGCCAGATCAGGGCTGCAGCCCCGCCGCTGCCGGGCAGACCCGAGCAGCAAAGCCACCGCTCCCCTCGGCAGTGCTCGGCTCCAGCACCGCAGAAGGGTGGGCGCCGCCTGCCTCCGGCCCCAAACCCGGGTCCTGGCCAGGCGGGATGAAGGGGATCAGCCAGCCGATGCCGGGCAGGACCGGCCAGTCTGCGGGGAGATACGATGGGCAGAGGAGGGGAGAACTGAGCCCCCCGTCTGACAATCTTCCTCCTCCCTCTGCTCCAGAGGAGCGTACTTTTTATTTAAAACCGACGAGTGCTGGGTTGCTTTCCGCGCGGAGCCGCTTGCAGGGGAAGAAGAAAGAAAGGAAGGAAGGAGGAGAGCGAGCGGCGCGCTTCCTGCGCCCGAGCGCAGAGCAGATGGTTTCAATCAGGGCGCCGGGGATAGGCGAGCCCCCGGGGCTGCGGGACGCGGGAAACAGGAGCAATACCTGTGGAGAAAGAGGTGTGGGGAGAGGGAAGCAGCGGATAGTCTCTGGTCTCCATTCCTAGTGCCTTGTTCAAATCCCTTCCTTACCAGGACTAGCTCCCGACAGCGGCTCTGCAGGGCGCTGCCGCCCAGGGAGCGCAGTCTGAGGTCCGCGCGGCGCAGCGCCCGTACCAGAGCGGGGAGGAGGTCTCTGCGTGGCACAGGCGATAAGTGCACCCACTCACCTACCTACCTACCTACCTGCCTACCTGCCTGCCTGCCTGCCTGCCTACCTCACACAGGCCCCAGCCCGCCTGTCCCCGTGCTTCTGCCAGCCTAATGGGTGATAAAATAACACAAGATGCCTGATATCAAAACCACACAGAGAAGGCAGGGTACCAGATGTTAGCAGAACATCAGTACTTCAAAATACAAACCCTGCACCTACGTCTTGAAGTATTACGTAAGCATTTATCAGACAAGTCACTTCACCATGGAGTAATCAAATGGTAGTAGGAACAGAAGAAACATAAATAGATGAGTGACACAGGCATTCTGCAACTGGAAATCCAAATTTTAACATTAACATTTCTGGAACATTACACACATGCTAACTTTCTTCCCACTGACTGAAATGGAAACTGAATGGTGCTCAGCATTAAGCAAATGCGTATGAGCTTCCCTACAGAAGGATACTTCTCCGAACCCAGAGCCAAGTACTCAGCAAAAACTGTTCTTCGCTTTTGCCACCTCATCAACAAAATAAAAGATATTGTCTTGAGATACTCTGATCCATCGTCCCACATGACAAGGAAATCTCATCAAAGAAATCAAAAGACTGAACACACAGGAAACAAGGGTAACTCTCGTCTGGATTCTGATGTGAACGCATGTTTCAAAGCAAAAACTATTTCAGCTGTCAGCCTTCTTGGGACAGATGTATTTACTCAGCTGCAAACAGAGAACTGTGTCACTGAACATCAAAAAATGGTGGGAGTTTACATTACAACACACGAGGAATGATTTACCTCCTGAACAACAAGCTACTGCTGAAAGTACCAGGAAGGAATATAAAATGAATACAACTTTCTTTCCCCTTAGGAAAACAACATAGGAGGGCCTTCCCGAGTACATTTCATAAGTGCAGGAAGACAGCAAACCATCTGCCTTTCCAGGAAAGCAATGATAATGAGGAAAGACGTTCAAGGAAAGATGCTCCATTCCCAATTAAGCTGGAAGTAGTCTATTTTGGCTGCTCCTCCAGCACATCAAACAACATTTCAAACATGCTAACAAGTTAACGTTGCTTTTATCAATTTTTTTTTTCTCCCATTTATGTTGCATTCAGGCCCCCAGACCTCAGGCACCGCCGCAACTGCCTACATATTCCTCAGAGTACAAGAGAATATAAAGCTAAGCTGTCTTTGAACACTGAATTAGGGCCTTCAATGTGTTTTCATGAACAAGCAGCCTAAGAAGGGCTTGTTTATTACAGGAGCTGGCTACTGCTCTGGCTAAGCAACTGGAAGATGATAACAAAACGTAAACTATGAGAGGAGTATTTTTCTTATTTGCAAACACATTACATCAGGCAAAGCCCCACCAACAATGAAAGATTTAAAGAATCAGGGCCTACTTGTTAACCTTGGCTATACTGCATGTAAAGAGAGTTTCTGTGCTTATTTTGCCTTCTTATCATCAGCGAGATGAGCAACAGAGCAGCACCAATTTACACACAGCCACTGTTGGTTTCGGAGCCTGTTTGGTGGCTCCGAGTGGTGACTGTTGGGCTGACCTCACACACACGTGCTGCCGCGCTGAGACAGAGGCAGCTTCGAGGGAGCACACAGGCTTGTGTGGCAAACCTGGCCTGCAGCAGGGCAAAGCACATTGCGCTGGTTACCAGCTAAGGGAAATGGCTTTCTTTCGGAGAGCAGAGGCAGCCATAGCTTGCAGACACTCTATCTGTTTCACTCAGCCAGCCATCCCTGCATGCTGTAGGTTTTACCTCAGAAGTTTAAGGTAAAATGATAAAACCCAGGGTGTACCGCTGTCTACTACAGAGATCACGGGGTGAAGCTTCCCGGCCACACCAGCAGCCGCCAGCTCAGCCACGGCTCGGCACCCTTCAGCTTCTCTCCGCTCTTCCCGTAGCAGCCGGGCAGGAACAGCGGCGGAACGGCACCTCATGGGCCCGGCGCCATCACAGCAGCGCCGCTGAAGGAAGGAAGGTCACGGGAAGCCCGCCCGGGGGAGCCGCTTTGCCTCAGGGCAGCGCGCGGGCCCGCCCCAGGCAAGGCGTCGTTAAGGGGACGCTGTGAGAGACCCCCCAGCCCCTGCGCTACCGGTGGGGCACCGGAGGGGCTGTGGCGCCCCCTAGCGGCAGCTTGAGGAGAGTGGGCGGGACAGGACAGACAGGTGGCGCGTGCGCGTTGTGACGGCGTGCGCACGGCGGCGGGATGGAGGGGGAGCGCGCGGGGCGGACGGCGGGGCTGGCGCGGGACGTGCTGGAGCGGGCGCGGCGGCGGCGACGGGCGGCGGGACGGGAGCCGCGCCCGGCCTCGGCCTCGGCCTCGGTCCCGGTCAGTGCTGCGGGGGGGGGGGGGGGGGGGGGCGGGAGCGGCCGTGGCGGCAGAAATGCAGCAACACAAACAAGAAACGCAGAGCAGCTGCGGCCTGAGGTGGTGGCAGGATGGTGCATATGTGTACATATATATATGTATATACACATATATATAGGTGTGCGTCGGAGTGGGCCACCCGTGTGCTTTAACGAGCTGGAGGCGTTCGGAAATCCGTAGAACGGCTTCATGCTGGGTTACACACCCCTGCGCTTTGTTCAGTCAGAGCCAGCGGGCACTCACCGCGCTTTGCGGGACACTCCTCCATCCGGTCACCTCTTGTGACTCGGCGCTGCCTGGTGCACCCTGCGGTAAAGCCAAGCACCACAGCGGTGGCCACACAGGGCTCTTTCGCCCCCCAGGCAGCCTCCAGGACTAGGGAGCGTTTTGCTGTTTAGTCATAGAATCATAGAATAGTTAGGGTTGGAAAGGACCTTAAGGTCATCTAGTTCTAACCCCCCTGCCATGGGCAGAGACACCTCACACTAAACCATGTCACCCAAGGCTCTGTCCAACCTGGCCTTGAACACTGCCAGGGGATGGAGCATTCACAACCTCCCTGGGCAACCCATTCCTCACCACCCTTACAGTAAAGAATTTCCTCCTTATATCCAATCTAAACTTCCCCTGTTTAAGTTTTAACCCATTACCCCTTGTCCTATCACTACAGTCCCTAATGAAGAGTCCCTCCCCAGCATCCCTATAGGCCCCCTTCGGATACTGGAAGGCTGCTATGAGGTCTCCACGCAGCCTTCTCTTCTCCAGGCTGAACAGCCCCAACTTTCTCAGCCCATCTTCATATGGGAGGTGCTCCAGTCCCCTGATCATCCTCGTGGCCCTCCTCTGGACTTGTTCCAACAGATCCATGTCCTTTTTATGTTGAGGACACCAGAACTGCACACAATACTCCAGGTGAGGTCTCATGAGAGCAGAGTAAAGGGGCAGGATCACCTCCTTCGACCTGCTGGTCACGCTCCTTTTGATGCAGCCCAGGATACGGTTGGCTTTCTGGGCTGCAAGCGCACACTGAAGCCGGCTCATGTTCATTTTCTCATCGACCAACACCCCCAAGTCCTTCTCCGCAGGGCTGCTCTGAATCTCTTCTCTGCCCAGCCTGTAGCTGTGCCTGGGATTGCTCCGACCCAGGTGTAGGACCTTGCACTTGGCATGGTTAAACTTCATGAGGTTGGCATCAGCCCACCTCACAAGCGTGTCAAGGTCCCTCTGGATGGCATTCCTTCCCTCCAGCGTATCAACCGAACCACACAGCTTGGTGTCATCGGCAAACTTGCTGAGGGCGCACTCAATCCCACTGTCCATGTCAGCGACAAAGATGTTGAACAAGACCGGTCCCAACACCGATCCCTGAGGGACACCACTCGTTACTGGTCTCCAGCTGGACATTGAGCCATTGACCACAACTCTTTGTGTGCCGCCATCCAGCCAGTTCTTTATCCACCAAGTGGTCCACCTATCAAATTGATGTCTCTCCAATTTAGAGACAAGAATGTCGTGTGGGACAGTGTTGAACGCTTTGCACAAGTCCAGGTAGATGACATCAACTGCTCTACCCCTGTCCATCAGTTCTGTAGCCCCATCATAGAAGGCCACCAAATTGGTCAGGCAGGATTTCCCCTTAGTGAAGCCATGCTGGCTGTCACCAAGCACCTTGTTGTTTTTCATGTGCCTTAGCATGCCTTCCAGGAGAATCTGCTCCAAGATTTTGCCAGGCACAGAGGTGAGACTGACTGGTCTGTAATTCCCTGGGTCATCCATTTTCCCCTTCTTGAAAATGGGGGTTATATTTCCCTTTTTCCAGTCATTGGGAACTTCACCTGACTGCCATGATCTTTCAAATATGATGGACAGTGGCTTAGCAACTTCATTTGCCAGCTCCTTCAGGACCCGCAGATGGATTTCATCAGGTCCCATGGACTTGTGCATGTTCAGGTTCTTAAGATGGTCTGGAACCAGATCCTCTCCTACAGTGGGCCCACGGTCTTCATTCTCACAGTCTCTGCATCTGCCTTCCAAGACTTGGGTGATGGGATCAGAGCATTTGCCAGTGAAGACTGAGGCAAAGAATTTTGAACCTCAGCCTTCTCCAAATCCTGTGTAGCCAGTTCCCTGATAGTTTCCAGAGAGGGCCCATGCTGTCCCTAGTCTGTCTTCTATTCGCTATGTACCTACAGAATCCCTTCCTGTTATCTTTCACATCCGTAGCCAAGTTTGATTCTAACTGGGCCTTAGCTTTCCTAACCTGGTCGCTAGTTTACCAGACAACATCCCTGTATTCTTCCCAGGCTGCCTATCCTTGCTTCCATCTTTTATAAGCCTCTTTTTTCATTTGAATTTTCCTCAGCAGCTCCTTATCCATCCAAGGAGGTCTCCTGGCTCTCCTGCTGCACTTCCTTCTAGTTGGGATGCAACGCTCCTGAGATTGTAGCAGGCAATCCTTGAATATCAACCAACAGTCTTGTGCCCCCCTGCCCTCTAGGGCTATATCCCATGGAACCTTACTAAGCAGGCTCCCGAAGAGGCCAAAGTCTGCTCTCTTGAAGCACAGGGCAGTGAGCTTGCTGCATGCTCTTCTCACTGTCCCGAGGATCTCG